ATAAGGATAGGTAAGGAACAGCATAACCAGTTCGCAGAGCACGGCAGAGGCGAGTTTCGGATTCCTTAGATCGGTAGTCAACGAGAAAACGAGACAACGGAGATCCGTAAACCGTTTTAGATGAAAGAGTCGACATCGAGCGCCTTCTGTAAAAATGACGGGAAAGCTTTTTCAACCATGATTCTTTCGAACTTAATGAAGCCCACTTTGCCATTTGATTTGATGGTCTCAATGTGGTCTTCTGTTGCCGTCAAATTGCAAAAATCTTCAACACCAAAATACAAAATCTTGGCCACCAGCAAGTATGAGACGCGGCTGATCTATCCCGCTATGTCTCAACAATAAACATTAATATTCTTTATAATAATTCAATGACAGGTTCCTAATGAGGACAGAATTTGAATAACTTAATTCTGTTTGTTTATTTATTCCTTTATCTAGTGGCGAGTTGGATTTTTTGTAAGTGTGTTCTTGATTTAAGAAATGTAAAATGGTTTCCGTGTTTACATAGCCTGATGTAAACATGCGGGAGGTTGGGAGAACACGAGATAAGCGTAGGAAACCACGACGCGAAGCGGAGTGGTTTCCAGCTTCTCAAGTTTTCTCCCAACCTCCCGCGTGTTTACATCAGGCTATGTAAACACGGAAACCATTTCACATTTCTTTTATAAAAAAACCAATGAAAGAGGAACGAAAACAATGTTTACATACGCTCATGTAAAATGGTTTTATGGCCAATCAGAGCGCGCGTACTATTTGAATTATTTTATAATGTTCGTTAGGGTTCAACTGAGTTAAATTTTTTGTCTGACACTATATGATTGTTATACCACAAGACCGGATTCAAGTCGAGCCGGCCAAGACTCGGTAAGTACTGGGAATGTGTCTGAGAATGTACTTGTTACGCTTCAGAAAAACACCTGGGTGGTCATCAAACATTTACCAAGCGAGTAGGAGAAAAATTTGGGGAAACAGAGATCATTCACTGGATGCAATGTCTTCTAACACTCCTAGAACATTTTATGGGCGTTCTCTCCCTCAAAATCTGGTTGACTACCGATCTACGGAGTCCAAGACTCGCCTCTGCCGTGCTCTGCAAACTGGTCATGCTGTTCCTTACCTATCTTTGTCTTCGTGCTTTAATACTCAAGCTGAACCAGCTTATTGCGGGGTCAGTACTTTAGCGATTATCTTAAATGCCCTGCGAATAGATCCTCAACGTATCTGGAGAACTATTTGGCGATGGTTTACCGAGGAACTCTTAGAGTGTTGTCGTCCGCTAGAAGACGTGAAAGTATCGGGTATCACTTTGGAAGAATTTGTTTGTTTAGCACACTGCAATGGAGCAGAAGCCACCCTTGTTCGACCGAACGACTCGAACGAACAATACAAGAAATTTATTCAGATTCTAGAGCGAGTCTGCACTGGTGGCAAGGAGGTTAAAGGAGAAACGTTTGATGAGGAAAATCCAGAGGAGTTCATGGCAATTTCTTACTCGAGGAAGACTTTGGGACAAACAGGCGACGGTCATTTCAGTCCTGTTGCTGCAATGGACAAAGAATCAAAATCTGTATTGATGTTTGACACAGCCCGGTTCAAATATCCGCCCTATTGGGTTCCTATGGAAGTGCTCTTCCAGTCCATGTTACCACTGGATAGTGTTACTGGAAAGAGTCGTGGTTATGTGGTATTGAAGGCAAAATATGAATATCAAGGTCGAAAAGTTGCTTGTAATTGGAGTGAATGTAATTCTTTGGCAGATTGCCCAGAAAATGATTTACCAGTACCAAAGCCTGTTTATAAAAGTGGCCAGTGGCATTGCGGAAATTGGCCTTGTAGTGGAGGTCCTTGTGACACAATTAAACCAACTTAGTTTGGTTCACCAGCACTGGAGGATTTACAATCATTAGGCCACTTTGGAAAAAACAGTAATCCTTTTTCATAGGCAAGCTCAACCTTACTGGTTTGCAGTTATTCAAGTCTCCCTGACATGAGTTTTAGTATTCACATACCAGGGGCCTCTTCCCTGAAATATGCCTTGTGTTGAGATTTCATATTAGTACAAGCTACAATTCAGAGAAATGATAAGATATGGTGTTTTCAATGGAAGTCTTTACGCTCATTAAACAACAGCTGATTATCAGTGCAAAACAGTTGAAATTGGAGCAGTGACCTGAACCTCATTCAACTTCACAATTTTATTTAATTTTTTTGCATAAATTGTGTATAGTTGGATATCTTGAGAAAACTAGATGCAAATCCCTATAAATACTTAGATTCAGACATAGAAGAGGCATACACTCCTGTGCTTGAGCCAGTAGACTCAGATCATCAGTGAGCTCAAAGTTGAGTCCAGACAACACTGGTAATGCAGCTGAAAGGTGTTAGAAGAGAGGAATGATGAAAATTCAAGGGGGGTCTCTTGTTACCCTCTGTCAAATTTTCATACAGTTAGAAAATATACCATTATACCAAAGATAATATTTCTTTGTTGCATTAATTTTTTACTGAATGCTATCCTTGAATTGGCACAAAAAAATTGGAAGTGGTTTTAAGATCACAAGAAAAAAACTGTTACATCAAAGTTTAGTAATTTACTTGTACTGATAGGAAGAGTATTGATAATGAAGGTCAATATTGTTAACAAAAGTGGTGATTTGATGGACATTAAACCAGGGTTAATAATCAAGAGAATTTGTGTTTTTCAATATTAATTCATCCCAGTCTGGGAAATACTCCTCCTTGATGGTATAACAATGTGCTTCCAAGTTCTTCAATTGTGACCTGATAAGTTTTGCCTGTGGGCTGTGTGGAACATTCCAAAGGAATACTGCAACCAATCCAAATATTGCAGCATCTAAAAGGCATGGCTTGCTTCCCATGATAAACCTCTTTGTTCCTAGCACTTGTGATACAGCCCTTAGGTCCCTCTCTGCAATGCTGTAAATTTCCTCTCTAGAGTGCCGCCCAATTCCGTGACCCCAGAGGTTCTGGCGCAGATAATGAGATGCTAACCATGACATAACATAATTTAGAGGAATTGGTGTTACTCCCAATAGAGGTGACATCGACCTTGTATCTGCCAGATCAGCCACAAAGCTATGATATATCAGAGTCCTGTTACAAGATTAAATGGAAAATTACATAAGACAAAGGAGAACTATTACAGTGCTGTAGGGAAGTGGTTTTGTGTATGGATCAGATCCTTGACAAACAGAAAACTGTGCAAGCTCTTGGAGGCAGTGAGGAAGAGGAGGGAGGGGAGCCTTGCTGAAGCCAAACTGGAATTCTGTTAGGAAAGGAAGGTTTAAACTGGATTTTGCTTAAGTTTTACAAATGGTTTGCTGAAGTTTTGTTCATTTCAAGTGCTGTAAATTTGAAAAAGATCTGATCATAACCCTTGGAAAACATGTGGAGTGAATGTAATTAATCTTGTTCAGTCCATGTAACTTGTCTACACAGCTGGAGTCAGGAGCCCATTACCCGGAGCCTCCATACCAATTGTACCCTCAAGTCAACCCTGTCCCATATTCTTTTATTTTTAGAACTGAGATATAGGGGAGTTCTATAATTTCCCACAAAAACATGTGGCCTGCATGTGACGTAAACAATAGAGGACCACAGCTCTCATATGATTGGCTTTTATGTAAACACCCCCAAAGGTGCTTCTAAAAACAAAAAGATACAGGACAGGGTTGACTCAGAGGGTAAGTATGAAGGATGGAAGTTCCGAATAATGGGCTCCTGCCCAAGTGTAGACATCACCTAATTTGCAGCAAAAAGACATTTTGAGACACTTGTATGAGAGGAAAAAACCCTGAAATACATGACCTATTTTCTTTTTAAAAAAGTTTTATTGCTCTCCTACCCTTGCACATGACTCGTGCTTTGCACTTGCCTCTCTTCACCTAACAAATGCCGAAAAAAATTAGGCCTGTTCTACAGCCTAATTCTGTGCAAGTTCCTGTTTGAGAAAAATAATGGAATGCATTCCCTCTTCCCACCTTGATTATGCTTTTGACAAGGTGCAAACTCCACCCCTATTGAAAAGCAACTGTGTATCTAAAAAGAAAATCAAACATGGAATCACTAACCCTCTCTCTCTCTCTCTCTCTCTCTCTCTCTC